TTCCCTGGAAGAGGAATTTCTCAATGCCTTCCACTCAGACTGCCTTAGTGGCTCCCCCTACTCTGACCAGAAAAAGTGTTTGATATTTTCTTGTTCACAAATATGAACACGAACATTTCCTTAGCATTTGTCCAAGGACAAGCCTTGCTCCTTAGGAAAGCATAGCACGCGAGAATTAATTCTGCATTTCCTGCGTTTGACATGCAACTCCAAGTGCGACAACAAGCCCTATGCAGTTATTTTCCGGGTTATGTAAATAATCTTTCATGTTTATTAGATTTTCACTCAATAGGTAATTCCTACTATTTCAGAGGGTTCGGTACAGTTTTATTGTGGATGCAGTTCACTATGGAGCCTTTAAACTATCTGCCAGTACTCCATAAATGTATTCGTTTGGATCCAAAATAAGACGAGACTTTCTTCTATAAACTCAGGGCTGTTTTATGAATCATAGGATATTATTCTATAAAACACTAAAAGGGACCTTTAAAATCCTTGATTCGACCCTGTACCTTCCTCTTATCACAGAGAAGGAATCCCATGCATAGATTGGGTAAGGGACTTGCCTCCAGACTTGGAGACCCAGGACTTGCGGTGGCTGCCTGACAATTTGTTGCACAACCTTTTTTGAGCCAGAAATAACTGGAAAGAGGGAGGCCTCCATAGCAGCTGTCTCATTCACTGGCACGGTGGGTCAGAGAATGAGATAATCAAGGGCTCTTTCTTCTCCTCTGCACCTGGAAGAGCACACTGCTAATCCCCTCACAGATGCCAACAGGCATTCAGGCTAACAGAGTGCCATTGAGATTAAGCAGAGCATGTCGTGCAGGCCACAGCAGACACCCTCACTCTGGGACTGTTTCTAAAGGGGAGGGTTTAAACCAGAAGCTGACTTGATTTACATTTCTATTAAGTGTCCATGGGATAATTGTCACTTTTATTTGCACCGGCCATGTAACACAAATTCCTTCAGACCCATATATGGAACCATTAACGCCTGCAGAGGGAGAAGGTAATTGACTCCCGTGTTCCATGGTGTCCTCAAATATTACACGTGAACAAAAATATTTAAGCTCAGCTATCTTCAGGTTTTTCATAACATAAAAACGTAACCATGAAAATTAATTTTAGTCTTTACCTCAAAGAAACATATCATTAAGAAATAAAGGAAATTAGCCTCATGTTGTTAAAATTGCTATGGTAGCCAATAAATTTATAAGCTTGACAGTATTTGAAGTATAATGACCCAAAGCAATAAGGAGAGTTCATCAAGGGAGTGGAATTTCATGATACACCTCGGATATTAATAATTTTCATTTTATGAGCATTCTCAGATGGTAAGGAATTTGCCTTTTTTTCTGACATGTTTTGTTTATAATTTATAGCTGCATCTAAATGACATACAAACGGTTTTATTTCCAGTGGTGAACTGTTCAGATCCAGGCTTTGTGGAAAACGCCATCCGTCAGGGGCAACAGGATTTCCCCGAGAGTTTTGAATATGGGATGAGCATCATGTATCACTGCAAGAAGGGATTTTACTTGTTGGGATCATCTGCCTTAACCTGCATGGCAAATGGCTTATGGGATCGTTCTTTACCCAAGTGTTTGGGTAAGTGCAGATTATTTTGGATTTTTATGCCACAAAACCCTATAACAACATCACCAATGAAATAATTTATTTTCGTGTATTCAAAAAGGTGTATATATTTTTTATTCTCTCTGCCCCTCCCGTTTCAAATTGTATTAGTCCCTAAGATACCTTTAGATAGATTGGCCAGAAAATAAGAGCTTCAACTCAGTTAGTTTAAGTGAAGGCAGGGGAGGAGAAGGCGGGAGAAGCCCTTGGAAGGCTCACATATCTGAGGGAATGCGAGGGGCCTGGGCTCAGAGTCAAGTGGACCTATGTTATTGGACACCAATTGGACTCATTCTCTCTTTCATCTCTCCTTATTCCTGCTGGTCTACCTTATTCAGTCTAGCATGTAGGCTTCTTCCACACAGTTCAAACAGGGCAGCTGGTGGCCTAACACTAAACATATCCCAGCTTCACTCTCTCTGGTCCCAAATTCAGAAATTTTGGCAGAGGGTTCTGATAGCCTCAGCTGAAATACAGGCTGTATCCATAGACCTAGCATCTGTGGCCAGAAGGGTGGAGTCCTGTGAGTGACCTAATGCGAGTCTCATGAGCAATCCTGGGCCAGTCAACAGTGACTATGATAAAAAAAAAAAGATTGTGTCTTGATAGTAACTTCCTTTTGAATCATACAGTTAAATCAGGGGAGGACATACTACTCTAAAGAGAGAAAACAAAATTATATATTAAACAGTCCCCCTCAATGCTTTATTATCAGTATATTTTATACATGTAGATTAACAAGAATACATTATTTTACCCAAATAGCTAAAATCTTACTTTCTTTGACTTGAAAAAAAAAGTTATCTTTTAGCTCAGAAAGAATCATCCTTTTAAAATATCGTCAGAAAATGTAGGGAAAGTGTTACTCTGTCTTTCTAAAGCAATTTTTTTTTAATCAAAATCGTATCTTTCCGTATACATTTGATGTGCCTAAAGACAGAGGGGAATGACATTTGCGTTGTAAATTGAATTTATTTTTAAAAAATCCATTTTTACCTTTTGTAATTCTAACATTGGTAAGTATGCTTTCATAATGGATTAACACTGAAAAACTTTTTTTCCCGCAAGTGAGTTGCCTTCATAACCCCTGCCGATCTATATTGAAACTTGTCTCAAATTCTAACTACAGAAATGCAATTAATTTTCATGGAGAAAGAAGGTGATAACTTTCAAAAACTAATGCTAAGCCTTCGTGACAAAGAAAATTCATTTATAAATGTATTACAATCTTCATCAAATTACATCTGAATTCTGGTTTTCTATGCCTTCTCACTTGGGATTTTTTCAGATATATTAGGTTTTTTGTTTGTTTGTTTGTTTTTTCAAAACATTTAAGTGTGAGACTTCCATTAGTTTCTGCAGTGATGCTAATCTGTTTCACATCCCCAGGAACTGGGTTTTCACCTACTCTCATTTTCCTAGGTGGCTAGTTCCCACCAGTCGTTAACAGTTGGAATTACCATGAATGTGAGAATAGAAAGATCTCAGAGGAGTATTCTGATTTTACATGCTCTATAAACTAAGCTGCATCTCTATTTTTGCTGTTATATCGTTTCACTGATTTTTTAATTTCTCCTTTTCTTTCACCTGGAAATGGTCATTTGCCAACCATTTCACTGATTCAAGTCTAATTGGCTTCTGTTTCGAACTCTGTATAGATACAGTCTGGTTCTCCAAGATAGGAATGAATGTCAATGTAAATGATAGTCAGGGCTTACATGACTCGGGATGAGTAATGCCATGCAGCCTTTTAAATCAGCCTCTCTGGTTGATCTCACTTTTGGGTTGCTAGTGACCAAATGCAATTACTCTAAGATGTTAAATCAGTGGCCTTTGAGTAATTCATTGGTACTCTCAGTCTAGTTAGCTGTTTACACGTAGCACAAAAATATGTCCTTTGTTAACCCTAATTTAGGATCTTATGAAAAGGGAGAGATAAATATTCACTATCCTCTGTTAGTCTGAGTTCCAGAATTTGTCTTTTCGAGGGTTAATTTCTAAATAGATTGTGGGCCTGTTTTATTATACTTCTCACAAAATAAATGGAAATACTGAAAGTATTTTATACAATAACTGAAGGGACAACTTATCCAATAATTTATTGTTATTATTATTATTTTACTTAAACATTAGTCTACCACCTATTCAAATAAAAATTGTTTCAGTGGTCTTCCTAGATGTATAAACTGAAAGAGTAATCACATTTTATGAAGTCTTGACCACAAGCAAAGTATAAGATTCTAATATTAACTGAAGAAACAATGGGAATAATTGGGATGGATCTATAAATTATTTTCTCAAGTATTCCTATAATATTGCTCACTTGGGATACAGTTAAGGGTAAATGGAAAAATTCTAGGTAGTGTGGCTTTCTCTTTGAAAAATTAAACGTAAATTTCTACCTTAAGCAAAGCTACCTGAAGAGCCAACATGTCTTCATGGACAGAATCTTTCCTTAGCTTCAGCAATATCTGACTATTCAGGGAAGGGAATGTATTCTTCTGGAAATTGATATTGCTCATCTGTAGAGAGCTGTAGGGATATGTCGGTGTATTTCTCTATTTTTCATCCATAGGTGATCTTTGTTTGAGTGTCTGCCTGTAAGACTCACCAGTGCAAAGCAGTTGCACAGGAATGATGTACTCATCTTTCAATCGTTTTTTCCCCCCGAAGCTATATCATGTGGACACCCAGGTGTTCCTGCCAATGCTATCCTAACTGGAGAGCTGTTCACATATGGAACCGTAGTTCACTACTCATGCAAAGGAAGCCGGAGTCTTATAGGCAACAACACTAGAGTTTGCCAAGAAGACAGTCACTGGAGTGGAACACTACCCCACTGTACAGGTAGAGGAATTATACAGTCATTTGAAATATTATATAATTATCTGTTTATTTGAAATTTTTATTCCATTTCCAGTCAAATATGCCATTATTATATATTATCATCATCATTTTCATCATCATCGTCAAACACCTATCAGTTTAAATTTTCTTCTCAAGGAATCTTGGGAGTTTGTTTATACCCTTGCCACAAAGTTTGCTTCCCTTGGCTTCAGTTTGTCCCTATTTGTTCTGTATTCCTCTACTGTACGTCCTCTCAGTTTTTCCACATTGTTTCTGTCTCCTTAATGAAAGAATTACATTTATCATCTTTGAAAAAAAAGTATTAATTCTTCCATGAATTTTTTAAAAAAAATAAATGAAATCAATGATTCAACAACTCCAGACATATCTGAGAAGAGTCAAACCTCTCATTAGATGTTTTTTTATAACCTCAATGCACCTTAACCCCCTTCTCCCTTTTACTATTCATACCTGCCTTTCCAGTAAATACTTCCTGAATTCACCATCCCCGGTGCTTTATTTTTTTTACAAAAGAGTATCTTTTATTCTCATAACTATATTTTAATAGGCTGTTTTGATTTTGGAGAAAATATTGAAATTGTCCAGTATCTCATTTTATTTGGATCTACAATCAATGCTCACAGAAGCAGCAGTCAAGAAATTAAATGACATATTGCATCGGGCAAATCTGCTACAAAAGACCTCTTTAAAGTGTTAAAAAGCAAAGATGTCACTTTGAGGACTAAAGTGCGCCTGACCCAAGCCGTGGTATTTTCAGTTGCCTCATATGCATGTGGAAGCTGGACAATGAATAAGAAAGACTGAGAAGAACTGAAGCATTTGGATTATGGTGCTGGCAAAGAATATTGACTATACCATGGACTGCCAGAAGAACGAGCAAATCTGTCTTGGAAGAAGTGCGGTCAGAATGCTACTTAGAAGGAAGGATGGCAAGACTTCTTCTTACGTACTTTGGCCATGTTATCAGGAGGGACCAATCACTGCAGAAGGACATCATCTTGGTAAAGTAAAGGGTCACAAAAAAGAGGAACACCCTTGAGATGGATTGACACAGTGGCTACAACATTGGGCTCAAACATAGCAACAACTGTGAGGATGGTACAGGACCCGGCAGTGTTTCGTTCTATTGTACGTAGTGTCTCTGTGAGTGAGAACTGACTCAAGGAAACCAACAAAAACAACATCATGTTGATTTTAGTTATGCGTGAGCAATTTCTTAAGTTCTTCCAATACTGTGCTGTAACAGAGAAAATCTTTTCTTACGAGAATGTCAGAAGGCGTCACTCAACCATAAAGAGAGATGAAGTTCTGATATGGGCTACAACATGGATGAACCTTGAAAACATCAGGCTAAGTGAGATAAATCAGATTCAAAAGGGCAAATACTGTATGATTCCACTTACATGAACTATCTAGACTGGGAAATGCATGGAGACACAAGTTTATCAGTGGGTACCGGAAAGGGGGGAGGGGAGAAGGAGGCGTTATTTCTTGAGAGGTGCTAGGTTTCTGTTTGGGGTGAGGAAATGGAGGGGAGTAGACAGTGGTGATGCTTGTGCAGCATGATGAATGTCACTGAATTGTACACTTAAGACTGGCTGAAACAGCAAGCTTTTTGTTATATATATTTGACCACAATTAAAAAAAAAAAAACTTAAAAAAAAAAGAATACCAGAAGGCTGTAGAACCTTATTGCATGTTATCTATACATTTAAATAACTTTTCATTCATTTTAAACATAACAATTCTATTTTAAACACGTCTAATAAAGCTGTATACTGTTGTGTTTATGTTCAATAGAAGGCTATAGAACCTTATTGCATGTTATCTATGCATTTAAATAACTTTTCATTCATTTTAAACATAACGATTGTGTTTTAAACAAGTCTGACTAAGCTGTATACTGTTATATATGTTTACGTTCAATAGGAAATAATCCTGGATTTTGTGGTGATCCAGGGACCCCGGCCCATGGCTCCAGGCTTGGGGATGAATTTAAGACCAAAAGCCTCCTCCGTTTTTCCTGTGAAATGGGTTACCAGCTGAGGGGCTCCACTGAGCGAACATGTTTGCCTCATGGTTCATGGTCAGGACTGCAGCCTGTGTGTGAAGGTAAGTGAATTCCCTTAAAAAAAAGAAATCAAGATTTAAGGTTAAAACCATAGAATTCGTTCTAAATTATTCTACAGAAATCCTAGCGATTTAGACTGTTTGGTCAAGTCCATTTTTTTTTTAAATTCAAAATGTATAAGAACATCATCAAAAATCATGACTGGGTATATGGAGATATCCTGACTGTTCTGAAAAGATTGTATGACTCTTTTCCTTAGCCTTTGAAAGTTCACAGCCAATTTTTTCCCTAATCTTTTCCTGATGATAATGTACATGTGAGTTTTTACAGTTTTATGATTACTGACAATAAATGAGGATAGAAAGCGGTGTAAAAGACTCACAGGAATTTCTTCAGAGTGGTCTCTTCATGTCTTAAACCCTTGATGAGAAATAGGTTTTAATTCGCTTGTTATTTCTGTTCTACCGATGGCCATTGTCCAGAGCACAATATCGCAAAAGGATCTGAGACTGCATTCTCTGTACTATTTGAGATTGAACATATTTGAGTATAATATCTGAGAGAGAGAAAACGGAAGGATGCCCTCCATCCTAACTGTAAAGATGAGATGGATACTTTATGAAAAACTAGTAGCTACTGTGCCATGAATCTGTAACTTTCTAATATTTCACGTCATATAAGTAGACAATCACATATGAGTAATTTGTTATACGTATATAATCTACACAAAATAAAATTCTAATCCTTGCCTCTTGACCATCAAGTTCATATAAATCTTAATACTAGGCCCTAAAGAATCTGGGTTAGGGCAAATAGGACTGAATAGTAGAGGGATGTGTCACCTACAGCTGTGAATTGTAGGATTATGCTATTTCAACTGATTGAAGCATGTAAACACAAGCTAGTAGACTTATTTTACACAAATATAATTTTTGTCAGTTGACTATCCTCTTATAGAGAATTTGAATGTTAAAATATACATGATAACTACTCTTTCTCACCAAAACCAAAATGTATTCAGAGTCTGACCCTGAAATGACACAGATATTGAAATGAACACACAAAGACTTTAAATCAGCTATTAAAAAAATATGTTGAAGAACTTAAACTAAGATAGACTCTGAATGTGTTTTACATAACACTATTGTGTCAAAGTTAAATTTCCTAATTTTTGAAAGAATTATATTATGGTCATGTAAAAGAATATCTTTGTTCTCAGGAAACACACATTGACCTATTTAACAGTAAAGGGGCATCATGTCTATAATTTAATCTCAATTATTTTAGGGAATATATATATATTCACCGATTATTTATATTTATATTTATTATTATATTTGTCATTTTATTATATTTATATTTATTCTCTCTCTCTCTCTCTCATATATATATATAACCCATTATTCATTGCCGTCGGGTCAATTCCAACTCCTAGTGACCCTATAGGACAGGGTAGAACTGCCCCATAGGGTTTCCAAGGAGCGTCTGGTGGATTCAAACTGTCAACCTTTTGGTTAGTAGCCGAGCTCTTAACCACTGGGCCACCAGGGCTCCCTCTCTCTTTTCTCTCTGTCTCTCTCTATATATACTGTACATGTATACATACTGTATGTATATATATATATACTGTACATATGTCTCGTATATATATATGTAGTACATGTAGTGTATATATATAGAGAGAGAGAAAAATAAGGCAAAATATAAATAATGTGATTAAACAGTATAAAAGAGTTTCTTATTCGACTTTTGTAATTATTTTATTACTCTGTAGTTATATCAAAGTGTAAATTTACAAAAGCAAGCTAAAATAGTTTCCACAGTAAAATTTCAACTTTGCTTTACTTCTAAATTATAATTAACAATGCTGAATATATCTGTAGCATTTGTAATTCAGGACATTTAGAAGAGAACTATGGTTTAAGAGTGACAATAGACTCTAGATCTGTGTCTATGTAGCCATTATTACAAAGTGTTGGTTCTAATTCTTATTATCCTTTTGTGTAGTACATCGTTAGTATTATATTTCATATTTAATGTTTCCTCAATAATTGTAATAGGGGATGGGTATGGATAAGTTAGTGAATTGAAGAATTGTTTAAATTTTCTAGACGTAATCTGATGCTTATTAAAAGCAAGAAAAATTTCTGTTTTCATGAATGCTAAATGCAATTTTGAGCTTAATCCTTGGCCCCAGACCTGAACTTCTGTGAGCTGAGTGCAGACTTTATCACTCTCCGAGAGAACTGAGATGCTAGACAGTCCTTAAAGGATGATCCTTCACTTGGGACAGGGCATTCTGTATTAAGTTTATCTCAAACAATTTGGTTTGGCAAATTAAAAAGGTGGAAAGAACTAAAGCAGTTGAGGATGAGTAAAGTTTTTCCATGGAAATCTTATTCTTTTTAGGCTGTAATAATATAATACCATGCATTCTATTTCAACAAAGCATAAATGAATTCATTTATTTCAATAAGAGTTTAATTGGATTTCACTCCATAATGTACTTAATTTAGACTATGCAAAGTATTTTTAAACAGCATTTAGTTTTTGTAAACAAAGAAATTAGTTTCCAGCAAAATCCTCAGAAACTTGGCTATTAAAAGCTGTGCAGAGAAAAAAAGATAAGCTACTAGAATGTTGCTGAAATACTAAAAATATTTCTCAAATATGACATGTCTCACAAAATTGACTTCCTCCAAAACTGCACTGTTCAAATACAGAAACGGTGGGAAGCTGAGAAAGCCAAACCACAGTATGTTAAACCCACTAGAGCAACAAATGATGGGCAAGCTAAACGTACACACAAGCAAAAATTTGAAACATCGTTTTGAAGAATTTGTAAATATTGTTTTCCTCACTTGCTGTAATAGCTACAAATCTTTGGGGCAGATATTATTATCTGTTTAGAAAAAAAGTCATACCAATACTATTTGCATTTCAAAAAATATTTTCCATGACTTCATACATTCGTCCTACATCTCCCACCTCATCTGAATTTATTAAAAAATTAGATTCTGATGGGAAATTTCAGTACATTGTAGAAATGAGGGGGAGTTAATAAATCACAAAAGAAAATCTTTAAAAATCCTTAAACATCAACAAATTTATACTTATATATACATCACTTTAAATCGTGTTTGCTCATCTGATATTACTTTCGTTAACTGTTAATCCTCTTTCCCCTGAAGTTACAATAAAGCCAACATTTTACTCAACCAGTAGATAGGTGAAGATGATGGTAACAATAACAATAGCATCAACTATTATGTGTCTGTTAACTACTACTAACCTACCACATGTTACACTAGACATTTTACACGTACAGGTGGTCCCCGACTTACGACGGGGTTCCCTTCCGGTGACTCTGTTGTAAGTCGGTTCTGAGGTGAAGTTGAACACCTTTTTTTTTTTAAAGTTTTCAATATCAGTTGTCTTTTATTGTCAATATCTGTATAAATCCAATCTTCATTTGTCTTTGGAGGTTGTAAACATTACATATAAAATTATATGTATTTTAATACATGAATGCATAAAAAACACACAAATCATAAAAATTTACTCTGACAATGAAGAAGAGAAGGACAACACTGCCATTTTGTCAGCTGCAAAAATAACTCCACGTGTGAAAGGTTCTGGATCATCTGAATTATCCCTGTGAATGGAGGTGGCATTTCTTTTCAGAAAATGAGTGAGAGTTGTCCGTATAATCCTTTTCTTTTTTTCTTCATATATTTCAAGGTAACATCTCACTGCTTCCCGAATCTGCCTGTCGACTTTAGCAAAGTGATTAGCATTTGGGTCCATGTTTTCAAGCAACTAAAGCCCCTGATTTAGTTGAGAAAAAAACTGCAGCTAATCTTTGGGTCCAGGTTTTCAAGCAACTGAAGCCCCTGATTTAGTTGAGAAAAAAAACTGCAGCTAATCCTTTCACTGTAAAAATTTTTTGACATACATCTGTGAATGAACGTCAGGGAATGATAAAATCAGCAAATTACATGCTGCAGCCTTGTATGTAGTGCATTTACTAATGATAAGATGTATTAAAAAAAAAGGTTGCAAGTGGGGTTCCTTGTAACTTGAATACACTGCAAGTTGGGGACTACTTGCAGTATGTCTCATCTTACAAAGCAGAGGTGGTTCAGTGGTAGAATTCTCGCCTTCCATGAGGGAGACTTGGGTGTGATTACCAGCCAGTACTCCTAATGCACAGCGACCACTCATCTGTTAGTGGAAGCTTACTTGTTGCTATGATGAGGAACAGGTTTCAGCAAATCTTCCAGACTCAACGTGGACTAGTAACAAAAGCCTGGCAATCTGAGTCCAAAAATCAGCCAACGAAAATCAAACGGCTCCCAGTGGGCCCGAGCCACAGCTAAAGTAGAGATGGCCAGGAGCAGGCAGTGTCCTGCTGGTTGTGCGTGACCCTGTCACGAGTTTCCCTCTAGTGGCTCTACACTGAATTTCTTGTTTAGTTTTACGGTTAGTTCTCTAGGATCTTATGACATTAGGGAATTGATATAAAACAGACAAGTTGACACCACCTTATCATCTTCGTTTTCATAGTCATAACCATCAGTGAAATGTTCCCGATCAGCCAAAAGCAAAACGGGAAGTTTACCATTAATTTTGCTTTACAGAATATAATATTTGAGGGAACTTTCCCAATATTGAGATGGCATTACTATGATGGAGGTTAATTTGCTAAAAATAAATTTGTCTATAAATTTGAAAAATGTTCACCAGTTAATTCATTAGTTTTAGCATTGGTTCTTCATAAGGACTTCTGATAATTACTACATAGATTTTAGTAACAAATATAATTTCAATAAAATATAATGACATGGGATATCCTTTGCTAGTTTGTTAAATTAAGAATTAGATCAAATATAATCCTAGTCTATGATAAGCTTTCCATTAGTACATCCAACTGCTCTTACTAGATAATGAATAAATCTTTTTGTTGAATGCATGAGTAATTGTCTTGAATAGCCCAAAACCTCAGCCATCTGCAATATGAAGTTTTAATTTATATCATAGTCATCATGGAACTTTTGGGCTTTAGAGAACCTTAGACACCATCTGCTTCTGGATTGGTAAATATATCACATCTCAAATGCAAACCAAGAAACTGCTGCAAGGTCTATATTAGAAAGGATTATAAATCCAAACCCAGATTCATCAAGAAAGAGGGTTATGATTGCTTAATTATGTCTGCCAGGAGCACAGGTAGAGAAGGATCAGCACATGTACTCTCTATGTGTCCCAAACACAATCTCCCTGTACGTGAGAATAAGCACATTTTTCAATGTAATATGAAAGGAAATGCCCTAAGTTTCCATATAACAATTTTTATATGCTGTGTAAATTTTGCAGTTAAGAAAAATGTATCTTTGTTCTCAAGGCTAGATTTGAAAGTGAAGCAACCAAATAAGAATATTTTCAAACATTTTGGCCAGTTTCAGAAATGATCTCATGATACATTCTTGTTATTAAAATCCAGCCAAGGGACATAGTCTTTATATTTCTGCCTATTGTACATTATTGTGAAGGCACTAAGGAAGAAAAATAACAATATTTAGGGTAAATAGTCTTGATTTTAAAAAGCCAAAAAAAAGATCTGTTAAATCATTACCTTGTTAAGTACCCAGAAGCAACTAAACTTTCTTTTGTTTGCTGATTCAGGCGCACACAAGACAGACACCTGAGCATAGAGGGTTTTGCTGCTCCTCATTATCTGAGGCCGTGGGCCTGGCACTGTGCTTGTCTGGAGAGAAATAGAAAATGCAGTCCTGACAAAGCCAATTAGCACAGCTGCTGTTAGATTTGGTAATATTGAGAAGGTCATTTTACAAAACAGTTTAAAAGTTGTAGTCATTCACATTCCTGAGGCATCTTTATTTTCCAAAATGAATTCTCCTGGAAATGTAAAATACATTCCCAGATTAAAAAATAACTAAACAAAACACAGCTATTGCATGAAGCAAGATGCCTTTGAGTTGCTAACATTATATACCCATTGCCACTGAGTCGATTCTGACTTATAGAGACACTATAGGACAGAATAGAACTGCCCCGTAGGGTTTCCAAGGAGCAGCTGGTGGATTTGAACTGCTGACCTTTTGTTAGCAGTCAAGCTTTTAACCACTGAGCCACCAGGGCTCTCTAATATTATATAGATCATTTAAAAAAAAAAAAGTCACCATAATTTTATCCAACAACAAGTTAAATCCCAAAGTGACTTGTTTTTAAATTCTTAATGCTTTACATACCCATTGTCTTCAAGTCAATTCGTACTCATAGCAACCCTGTAGGACAGAGTAGACCTGCCCCATAGGGTTTCCAAGGAGCTGCTGGTGGATTCAAACTGCCAGCCTTTTGGTTGGCAGCCAATCTCTTAACCACTGCACCACCAGGGCTCCCTCAGTGCTTTACCTCATCTGTTAACTTGTTTTGAAGTAACATACTTTAGAAAGAATAATACAAAAATATATTTCATATTTGTAACTAATAACATAGTAATATGAGCCATATAGAAAAACAATACATCAGACATCTTTCATAATAATATGCCCTGTGTTTTTTAAAAGGCATTTATTAAAAGGATAACATTTGTTCTTCTGTGTTTGTCCTTTTACTAATGGGTCATTATCTTTGCGTGACATTGCTTTTGTTTCCCTAACAGCTGTGTCCTGTGGCAATCCTGGCACCCCCACCAATGGCATGATTGTCAGTAGCGATGGGATACTGTTCTCCAGCTCGGTCATCTATGCTTGTTGGGAAGGCTATAAGACCTCAGGGCTGATGACTCGGCACTGCACAGCCAACGGAACCTGGACGGGCACAGCTCCGGACTGCACAGGTTAGTAACCAACTGTCATGGTAGAGGGAGGATAGTATCAGGAAACCTATTCTATCGAGAAAAATAAATTTATTTTTAAAGCATTTTATTAACTTTTTAGTACATAAGAAGAAAAGACAATGTGTATTTGATATTATGACTATATTTTTAGATTTTTCTCCACTTATTACATTTGACGTTAATTTAAATGGTCAGTTGAGTTGGGCATTGTAAAACTGAGGACAAAAAAGTCAAGGTTCTCTCTCTTTATGTAGACCATTTAGTCCACATAAATAGAACCCACATTTGTTCTCTGGTCAAGCCCATGTCTGTGTCCTGGACCAGCATGGTGTGATTGCACACCATACCTAATTAAGGACATTTGCCAAGGGATAGCAGCTGGCATCAGCATAGTCTATCACCAAGAGGATAGAAATAACTAGTTCCAGACACGTAACCTCCTAACAGCGGGTTGATAAAATTGTCAAGCAAAGGTTAATATTTTAATAATTCACTGCTTAATCATTTTGAATAGCATCTCAAAGAGAGTAACTTGAATAGAAGCCATGACTAATTCACTTCGTGATAATTTTGTATTCCTCTGATTCTTTTCGGTTGCTCACTTATTAGTTATAAGTTGTGGTGATCCAGGTACGCTGGCAAATGGCATCCAGTTTGGGACTGATTTCACGTTCAATAAGACTGTTAGCTATCAGTGTAATCCTGGCTATTTTATGGAACCCGTCACTTCATCCACTATTCGTTGTACTAAAGACGGTGCGTGGAATCAGAGCAAGCCTGTCTGCAAAGGTCTGTATTGTGACTCTTCAACTTTACTGATGTGCATAGCAGTGCCTATTATTTTTATTTTATTTTAGAAGCATTCATATAACCCTTCTCTGTGTTAGCAACTCTTATAAATACATTTACAAATATTAAATCACTTAATTTTCATAGAACTTCTATCTAAATTTCACAGGTGGGAAAACTGACTCACAGAGAGGTTTAGTGACTGGCTCAGGATCACATAGCCAGGAAATGGAGGAGTCAGGATTAAAATAAGGGATACTAACTCTGGAGCCTGTGCTTTTAATCACAACACTTTGTAGTCTCTTAGTCAACATTTTAACCCTGGCTATTTTAAGTCTTATGGTAGATCTGATGGTGAATAAAATTGTAGAACTTTAAAGTTAGACAAGGTAACCGTCAAATAACGGCAGCATGAGGTAGAAAACATCAGTGCCACCATGTTTTGTGCTAGTTTGGGTGCAGACACTGGTGATGCCCACACACTTGGACTTTTGCGGGGCATAGCGTTTGCTCATGACAGTCCAGGTGAACTGAGTAAAGCAGAGTGAGTGGGTTAGGAGGTGGGGCTGGATGAGGCTTGTTCAAGAGCTGGGAATTTTCAGAGTTTGAACTTCTTTTGCGCCAAAGAGAGAGGAGTCTTTATTATTGGCTTGTTCAGGTGTGGGACAAGGCTGGGGGTGAGGCTTGAAAGCTGTCAGCAGATCAAACAAAAAGTGGAGTCCTCCTCTTTATTATACCTACCAGGAATCAGGTGCCATAGAGTGACCTCTAGCTAATGACAGACCCATGTATGTCAGAGTAGAACTCTGCTTTGTAGGGTTTTCAGTGGCTGATTTTCCAGAAGTACGTTGCCAAGCCTTTTTTCCATGGTGCTTCTAGGTGAACTCGAATTGCCAACCTTTACATTGCAATTTCCTCTGCCTGGAGCACACTTGCCCCAGATCTTCACATGTAGATTCTCAAGAAATATTTGTTGAACAAATGAATAGATGAATGGAAGGATGAATGGCAAAAGAAAGACCAATTACCATATGCTGGGTGTGTCTGTGTGATTCCGTGCGTGTTTATATGTCTTTCTCATGTGAGAAAGCATGAATGTGCCTCAGGAAATGCACATGAGTATCTCTCTCCTGCTGCCTACTCTGCCTAAATTGTCTTTTGCAAACCTCCTCCAATGTCAAAAATTCAGGAAACCGTCAGATAAGGAGAGTCAGGAATAGGAGGAGGATATGGAATGTATGGCTGATTGCCTCCATGAACAACTGCTTTCTTTGCCATGAGACCAGGAGAACTGGATGGTGCCCAGCTACCATTAATGAACATTTTGATCAAAGATGGTACAGAAGAATATTGCTTAAATGGGGAAAAATGCAGGACAGAATTTCAAATTCTCATGGAATCCAGAATTTCTAGCACCATGGAGGCTGGATGAACTCCTGAAATTATTGCCCTAAAATAATCTATAAACCTTAAACCAAAAATACCCCCTGAATTCTTCTTAAAAGCAAACAATAGTTTAGCTTAACCAGTAAAGAATGTCTGCCTTGAGCATCATGCTTTATCAGGAACTATGTATATGGGATCAAATTGACAACAACAACTCCAAAAGATTAGATAGGAACCTTAGCGGGGTATGAATTTATGTTAATGGGGAAGAACAACTCTGAAAAGGAGAGTGAGAATGGTTACACAAGTCAAAGAATGTAATCAGTGTCACTGACATGTACATGTAGAAACTTGAATTGGTATATGATTTTGCTGTGTATATTCTCAACAACAAAAATAAATAATAAAAAAATATATATATATAAATGAATAATTTTTAAAAAAATTAAGAAACTGTGATACTCAGGGAAGAAGATTTTTAGACAATATTTTTGCTTCCCACTATCACTCATCTTAGTATAATTGCTAGACTGGGAATTGTGGATATGTGAGCCAGTATCAGTGGAGGAATCGTCCCTCAGAAGTGTGTTCTTGCTGTGTGGCCATATATACAAAGTAAATATCATACTCTAAGATTCTTATAAAACACTTGCATATAATGTTTTACAGAATATTCTTTAACCATTCCACTTTTTTTTTTTTTTAATTAGAAATCGAATGAACAGACGATGGCTTTTGGAAATTATATACTATGTTTAAACAAATAAAAATTTCAGAGGAGCAAAGAAATGTTTACCATGTGTATAGTAGGGCTATCATTCAAAAGTTAAAATAGTATACACATGTCATTTGACCGTATGATTTGATTTGTGCTCAGTAACCATCATAAAAGGACACGTATTAAATAAAAAGATTTCTTCCTTTCTTGGCCTTTTGTATATTAAGAATGCCATGCTCAGTGCTATTTTCTTTTACAATGGGATATGTTTTGACTTTACATTGGTTTTACATACTTGATCTAAAGTAATTTAGATATATTGGAGAACAGTTTTATGATTTTGATTTACTGTCTTCCTCGATTTTTTTTAATTAAATACAACCCTATGTCAATGTCATTTGTAATTCAGGTTAAATTAAAATGTGAATAATGTGAGCATTACAATGGTGGGAGAAGTTCTACGACGCTTAATCTTGTTCATTTTTGTGAATAGCTGTCATGTGCAGTCAGCCTCCTCAAGTACAGCATGGAAAAGTGGAGGGGACTGATTTCCACTGGGGCTCCAGTGTGAGTTACAGCTGTGCTGATGGCTACCAGCTTTCTCACTCATCCATCCTCTCCTGTGAAGGCCATGGGGTGTGGAAAGGAGAGATTCCTCAGTGTCTGCGTAAGTTCTGCAGCAAAGCTTGTTCTACTCATCCCAAGTTTGCAATAGGACCAGTATGTGCACCCTAAATATATAATTGGAGGAACATAATCACATATCGCTTACAGCCATATTAGAATGTGTGCATCCTAGATTTATAATCTGAGGAAAATATTGACGTATAATTTATAGCCATATTAGAATATATAAAAACTCAGACTTGAAATTGCATTGCCCACAGGCAGATTCTTTCTATTTAGTTCCAGATTTGTTTAATAATTAAACCTAACGGTTTAATAGAAACTAGTTAAACTAGTGAATAGGTATATTACACTACCTGATCCAGGTTAACCTGACCCAGGGAAATGTAGTATTAGCATCCTTACATTGACGCTTTTTTCTACAAAGTCTTTACTTAGCTTTCGTTGGTTTCAATAGCTGTGTTCTGTGGAGACCCTGGCACTCCGGCAGAGGGAAGACTTATTGGGAAAAGTTTCACCTATAAGTCTGAAGTCTTCTCCCAGTGTAAATCTCCCTTTATACTAGTGGGATCTTCAAGAAGAATCTGTCAAGCCGATGGCATGTGGAGTGGCATACAACCCACGTGTATAGGTAATAATTTTAGTATTTCATCCGAAGTATTTTGTGATGAAGATATTTTATTTCAAAATCTGATCATTCATGGTTACAGAGATAAACTTTCTGTAGAAAATATTCTGTGGAAGGTAATATACTTTGTGTAATCACTAATCAGCTAAACTGATTTGCAGTCTGTTTTAAACAGTACACACTAAGTTTGGAGACTCTACAAGTCTGTTAAAATAGCTACTAGCCATTGTTCACTTGCCTCAGTTTCTCCATCTCCAGTCCATTTCATTATACAGCCACATTTTTTTATGGGAAAGGCACATTCGTTGAAGGTGCCATTACTGCTGTTCTCCAAAACAGCCATCACTCCAGAAGTAGCCTAGCTCATGGTATGTTAGCCTTCCCTAAATATGTGCATCGCATTCATTAGATCTCCTTCTTACTTAATTAACTGTATTGTTAGCAGTGGAAAAAAAATAAATAATGACATGGAGAAATAATGTTCTGGTGATCTCAGGACACAAGAATGAAATTTGCAAGAAAGAAGAGACTTTATATACGGCTAAAACCTCCCATTTTTAGAATACATCTCTACTTCAGAGAAAGAGTCCACATAAAATTTATATTTGTCAAGAGTCACACTACTAGCAATACAAATATGAGAGCCCTTAATTTGGTATTCATTTCCTCATACCTCACTGCTGAAAACTCCAGTTTTATTGCTGGCTTCATTTTGTTCAGGTGCTTTATTGGCAGGATGGTCGGTGGTCTGAGTTTGCAGTATACAGTGATTTATAATCTTAGTTATTTTTGGAAACATTGAAAGATATCTACCTAAAAATAAAGCTAGTTTTAGAAATAATTTAACTGAAGCACTTTTTTAATTATAGGAATATTTACTGTGATTCTATTCAAATTACTGCCACTTGATAACTATCTCTATATGAAAAATATTTTTCTTCTTTCCAGTATATTAATTACTCTTGAATATGAATTGTAAAAGGCTATTTATTTTGATTTGATATTAACAGCTACAGAGCAGCAAATAATAAAGCTGAAAAGCTCTTTGATTGCTCAAGTCCTACATTTTTGGAAAATATCACCTGTTGGTTTACTATATGCTTCAGTTTTGAAGCATTAAATATATTTTTCATTTTGAAGTCCTGAAGAAAAATAATTCAAGATTTTTGCAGGGACCAAATGAGATGGCCATTAACTGAATCCTTAAAAACCAAGTGATCCTGCTAGATAATTACTGAAGGTGTATTGATATTCAATACAGCATGTCAGTAGAGAAAAATTCAACTGGAGAATGAAAAGTAGATGAATTGCTATCATCAGATGCCACTCTACTTATTCTTTTTTTATACAATTTATTTAATTTTCTTGTTGAGAATATACACAGCAAAAACAAACACCAGTCCAACAGTTTCTCCATGTACAGTTCAGGGACAATGATTACATTCTTCAAGTTGTGCAACCATTCTCACCCTTCTTTTTTGAGTTGTTCCTCCTCATTAACATAAACTCACTGCTCCCTGAGGTTCCCATCTTGTCTTTTGAGTTGCTGTTGTCACTCCACTTATTCTTACATAAAAAAAAAAAAAAAATACAGAGCAATTTAAAGTCTGGTAAGGCATGAAAGACTAATAACTAAAGAAGTCTAAAGAGAAGTTAAAACAGCAATTTGATTTAATTTTTAACTTTCATGAAAAACATCTTGCACATTTGTCAAAGCAAAATTTCGTTAATTGTTTAAGACATTTTAGGAAAACATTAGATTTGCTGTAATAATTATATCTGCCCTTTGTTTCTCGTTGTGAATTTCAGATCCTGCTCATAACACCTGCCCAGATCCTGGTACCCCACATTTTGGAATACAGAATAGCTCTAGAGGATATGAGGTATTAAACTTTTATTTTATTATATTTTCTGTAAATATAAAATGCAATTGATACTTAAACATATGTGTATACCATTCTTATTCATGTTATTATTTGACAAAATAAAATACATACAATGAGAATTTTACATGTGTTCTTAACTGTCAAAAACAGGATAACTGTGTATATCTGGGTTCAAACAATAGCAACTGTTATGTTAATTTCTTTTGGAAAACGTACAATTCTGTGTTTTTTGTCTGCTGAACTAACATGGCAGTTCTTAGATAGCAGTGGTATGTCCCTGAATAGCTATGCATACAACATCCTGTTTAGTGATTTGATAAAATGCACAAATAATATTAAATTCTAGAGGATAAAACGGAAGAAGAAAGTGCATTCAAGCCCCTCAGGCTAAGCTTACTTTGTGATGTGTGTTCTTCATATGATCTCTTAAAACTGTTTGAATTATTAGCATACTGAATGTCACTTTTGAATGTGCATTTGACTTTTTAATAAAAAATACATTAACTGTTCAGTTCATATTGGAGGAATATCTAAAAATAGAAATAATAAAGCTTGAAATAAAGTGTATTAACCATCTTAATCAAATGACTTAATAGCTCTTTGATTATGTGACTTTGAACACTGAAGTTAAATATGTAGTTTCAAGTTAGATATTCTATTGATTTAGAACAAAAATAATTTTCCCCAACCACATTCCTTCTCTTTCTCCCGAACCACATTCCATCTCTCATGAAAGCAAAAATATTCTCATGTTACTGGTTCTGACGTTGACTACTTCCTGATAACTCTCTTACATTTTGCAGAGAAAGTTCTCAGAGGAACCCGGTGGTAAATCCAGAACATTTTATATTAGGTCCCAAATGCGGCTTTAGGTTTCAGGCAAATCCTTTCTGGCATATAGACATTTAATAGCAAGTATCTAGGAATAACTGAAGATACTGTGTGTGAGGATTGATCTCACCAATTCACTGTGCAAAGTCAGTTTTGATTACCATTGATCACCATTGCTTTGAGCACTTCTTAACTTCACTGCCTACAGCCTATATATTGTAAGTAAAAGTTTATGGTGACTGTGTTTAAAACATATTCCTATGATTCATCTTAAGAAGATCATTTAAAAAAAAAAACACCGATCAATTCCATTGCCGTCGAGTCAATTCTGACTCACAGTGACCCTACAGGACAGAGTACAACCGCCCCATAGAGTTTCCAAGGCTGTAATCTTTATGGAGGCAGACTGCCACATCTTTCCTCCTATGGAGCGGCCGGTAGGTTTGAACCACCGACGTTTCTGTTAGCAGCAGAGCACTTAACCGCTGTGCCACCAGGGCTCCTGTTGTTATGTTGTTAGGTGCCATCGAGTCAATTCCGACTCCTGGCGACCCTATAGGACCGAGTAGAACTGCCCCATAGGGTTTCCAAGGAGTGACTGGTGGATTTGAACTGCCAACCTTTTGGTTATCAACCGAGCTCTTAACCCCTGTGCTACCGGGGCTCCCACCAGGGAGGGCTCCTAAGGATAGATAAATGTTTCATCCTCCTTGGGAAAAAATAAAGTCACATGAACACAAATGAAAATGTTTACCCAATAGCAAGATTCAGTAATAATTTAAAGGAAACAGACAAGCACTGATAAAACATTTTTTAAAAAGATGTCTGATACTATCTGATGCAGCTCCCACAAAAATATTCCTTTTCTCCTTCATTACAACACAATTTGATTTTGAATGTAACAGATGAGATTTTTGTTTTGTTTTGTTTTGTTTTAGCCCTGTATGCTGAAACGTTATCCACGTAAAGTGAGCCGTTTCGGATTTGGAACACCCCTATGCTGTATTAGGTTATTTGCACAGCTTAGGTGACTAGACCTCATTCTCCAGTCAGCCACATCCCATAAATTAATAAATTCCAGGTACATTTATAATGATCTAGAGTGGCCAGGTATACTGTACTAAAAATATTTTATTAATAAGTGTATTGTGTTTTCATTCCTCGAGTAAATGCTAAAAGCTGCCTGTTACCTCCCTGCTAATCAGGAATGGTATCATGTTTACCAAGAGGTATGATAGACTTTTATTATCGTGCTTACAGGAGATCTGATGGAGTTCCTTCATCTTCTCTGGCATCCCTAGCACAGAAGAGAGGCTTTACAGACCTGTTAACCCTTTCCCATCCTTGGAAATTAGCTATTGATTTGAGGTTTACATAAATACAATTTTTATTTCTTCATAAAAGCTTCAATTTTTAGGTGTAAGTTCTAAGAAGCACCTTTTTTTTTTTACGTTTTATATCACTTTTCAGTGTGTCAACTCTTCCCACATATTTTACTCATAGTTTTTCTTCCCAAAATCCTTTTGAGGGAGATAGCACTTAACCCATACAAGATAACAGATGCAGAGTAATTAAGTGATTTAAATTCTCAAAGAAAGTATTAAGATTGATATTCAGATCTTTGGACTCCTGCTCCATATCTTTAAGTAGCTTCATAATTAAAGCCTTAGGACAGCCTGGGTCCCAAGCCGAAGTGCAGTGCGGGCAAAGCTGGCTTCTAGACTAGCTCCCCTTTCTGTAAGCCGCTTTTCTTCTCCCTTCTCATTCCGCCATGCCCTGCTCTCTTGTTCCAGATATAAGCAATCATGGAAGATGTTGGAGCACCCCAACACACATCCATAACTCACCACTGAGACTCCCTCCTTCAAGGCACTTCCAGTTAAATTAGGAAGACAGATGAACATACAGGCAGTTTTAGCATGGTTCAGTAAGTGACACAATTAGCAGTTCATGATGGCGAAATTCATACCAGCAACATCTGATTTATTCTTGAAAGACAAGAAGAATACACAGAGGAAAGTGAAGTCTGAGCAAAGTATCGAGAATTAAGTGGGAGTGAATGGTAACGATCTGGGGGAGAGGGTGTCCCGGGCATTAAGCTAACAGTAAATAATCCTGTTTTTGAAGCACTGGGAGTACAGATTAAGTCCTGAGGGATCTAAGGAGGAGCAAGAATTGACCAGTCTCCTAGGACTATTAACAAAATTAATTTGCCAATGGAGTCCTGGTGGCACAATGGTTAAGAGCTCTGCTGTTAACCAAAAGATCAGCAGTTCAAATCCACCAGCTGCTCCTTGGAAACCTTATGGGGCAGTTCTGCTTTGTCCTGTAGGGTCGCTATGAGTCAGAGTCGACTTGAAGGCAAGGGGTTTGGTTTTTGTTTTGTTTTTAATTTGCTAATGAATATCAATTGCTTAGAATGAGTAGCAGAAAAACTAATTAAAATGAAAGAAAAAAGGACACTTTCTTTACCAAAACAAACAGGTCTCTAAATTATCAATATTTAGTATATTTAAGTTTTTACATTATGTATTGAGTAATCTATATAGTGTACAATGCTTTTACAAATCATTTAAATTTATGTGCTGATTCTAACAATGACTTGATATTAAAGTGAAAAATTACTGGTATAATTTTTGCTTGGAATCTGCTTTCAAGCATTATTAGTTTTTATTGAGTTGTTTGGTTTTTGCCTCTGAAACTTATATTGGATTTTCCTTGTAGGTTGGAAGCATGGTGTTTTTCAGGTGCAGGAAAGGTTACCATATTCAAGGTTCAACAACTAGAACTTGCCTTGCAAATTTAACGTGGAGTGGAATACAGACTGAGTGCATACGTAAGTGTGATTTCTTCCACTACCATCAGCAGTAACCTACGTATTTTGAATAAATGGGAAATTTCTGCCTTCAGGGGAAATACTGAGAAATTGTTTCACTTATGTTTGTTTGTTTTTAACTCCCTAAGCAAATAGTTTTCAGTTTTGATTCCCTAAAACCAGCAACATCAGTATCACCTAGAAGTTAGGTAGGAATGAAAATTCTCAAAACTTGCCCCAGATCTCAAATATGGAAACTCCCTGGGGCAGGGGAAGCAGCAGTCTGTTTTAACAAGCCCTCCAGGTGACTGTGATGCAGGCTGAGATCTGAGAACAACTGCCCTAAACCAAAGATAAGTGAATAACATTCAGGGAGAAACAACATTTTGTTAGTGCTATTCTTCTTCCAGTATGTTTGCATTAGATTATTACAGAGAGGAACACTGGGTCATGTAATAAGTCAGAGTATAAATAGAAATTCTTAAAATGTTGTTCTTCATATATTTTTGAAGTATATATGGGTGGATACACAAATAGTTATGTAAGGATCAAGTTATATTTTGTAACGTAATCATGAATTAGAAGAAATGTACGATGACTGCTATGTCCATATTTCATCCCCTATCAATTTAGCGAAACATGGTATCTTCATAGTGTCTTATTCTTACTATGTTAAACATACAAAAGTAGTTGTTATTAGGTGCCATCGAGTTGGTTCTGACTCACAGCGACCCTAAATGTACAAAAGAATGTAACACTGCCTGGTCCTGTGCCATCCTCACAATCATTGCTATGTTTGAGCCCATTGTTGCAGCCGCTGTGTTAATCCATCTCTTCAAGGGTCTTCCATTTTTCACTGACCCTCTACCTTACCAAGCATGAAGTCTTTCTCTAGGAATCGGTCCCTCCTGATAACATGTCCCAAGTACCTGGGATGAAGTCTCGCCATCCTCGCTTACAAGGAGCACTCTGGCTGTACTTCTTCTAGGACAGAATTATTCGTTCTTATGGCAGTCTATGGTATATTCAATATTCTTCTCCAGCATCATAATTCAATGGCATCAATTCTTCTTCGGTCTTCCTGATTCACTGTCTAGCTTTTGAATGCATATGAGGTGATTGAAAATACCTTGGCTTGTGTCAGGCACACCTTAGTCCTCAAAGTGACATCTGTGCTTTTGAACACTTTAAAGAGGTCTTTGGCAGCAGATTTGCCCAATGCAATGCGTCCTTTGTTTTCTTGACTGCTGCTTCCATGGACGTTGATTGTGGATCCAAGTAAAATCACATCCTTGACAACTTCAATCTTTTCTCCATTTATCATGATGTTGCTTACTGTTCCAGTTGTGAGGATTTATTTATTTATTTATTTTTTTATATTGAGGTGTCATCCATACTGAAGGCTGTGGTCTTTGATCTTCATCAGCAAGAGCTTTAAGTCCTCTTCACTTCCATCAAGCAAGATTGTGTCATCAGCATATCATATGTTGTTAATGAGTCTTCTGCTAATCTTGATGCCACCTTCTTCTTAATACAGTCCAGCTTCTTGGATTATTAGATTAGCATACAAATTGAATAAGTATGGTGAAAGAATACAACCCTTTCCTGACTTTAAACCACACAGTATCCCACTGTCCTGTTTGAATGACTGTCTCTTGGTCTATGTACCTGCTCCACATGAGCACAATTAAGTGTTCTGAAATTCCCATTCTTCACAGTGTTATCCATAATTTGTTGTGATCCACATAGTCAAATTCCTTTGCATAGTCAATAAAACACAGGTAAACATCTTTCTGGTATTCTGTGCTTTCAGGCAAGATCCATTTGACATCAGCAGTGATATTACTTGTTCCATGTCCTCTTGAATCCAGCTTGAATTACTGGCAGTTCACTGTTGATGTAACCACTTTTGAATGATCTTCAGCAAAATTTTACTTGTGTGTGATATTAATGATACTGTTCAATATTTTCTGCATACTGTTCAATCATCATTCTTTGGAGTGGGCACAGATATGCATATCTTCTAGTTGGTTGGCCAGGTAACTGTCTTCCAAATTTCTTTGCATAGACTAGTGAGCACCTCCAGTGCTGCATCCTTTTGTTGAAACATCTCAATTCGTATTTCGTCAATTCCTAAAGCCTTGTTTTTCGCCAATGCCTTTAGTGCAGCTTGGACTTCTTCGTTCAGTACTATCAGTTCTTGATCATATGCTACCTCCTGAAATGGTTGAACCTCGACCAATTCTTTTTGGTACAGTGACTCTGTGTTCCTTCCATCTTCTTTTGATGCTTCCTGCGTCTTTCAGTATTTTGCCTATAGAAACCTTCAAATTTACAACTTGAGGCTTGAATTTTCCTTTAGTTCTTTCAGCTTGAGAAATGTCAAGTGTATTCTTCCCTTTTGGTTTTCTAAGTCTTTGCACAATTTCATTACAATACTGTACTTTGTCTTCTCGAGCCACGCTTTGAAGTCTCTTCAGCTCTTTTATGTGATCATTTCTTCATTTGCTTTAGCTACTCTGCATTCAAGGGCAAGTTTCAGAGTCTCTTCTGACATCCTTTTTTTTTTCTTTCTTTCTTTCTTTTTAATGACCTTTTGCTTTCTTCATGTATGATGTCCTTGATATCATCCCGTAACTTGTCTGGTCTTTGGTCATTAGTGTTCAATGCGTCAAATCTGTTCTTGAGATGGTCTCCAAATTCAAGTGGGATATACTCAAGATCATATTTTGGTTTTCATGGCTTTGTTCTAGTTTTCTTCAGCTTCAACTTGAACTTGCATATAAACTATTGATAGTCTGTTGCGCAGTCAGCCCCTGGCCTTGTTCTGACAGATAATATTGAGCTTTACCACCATCTCTTTCCACAGATATAGTCGATTTGATTCCTGTGTTTTCAATCCGGTGAAGTCCATGTGTATAGTCATCATTTATGTTGTTGAAAAAGCTATTTTCAATGAATAAATTGTTGGTCTTGCAAAATTATATCATGTGGTCTCCAGTGTTGTTTCTATCACCAAGGCCATATTTTCGAACTACTGATCCTTCTTAACATTCCAGTCACCAGTAATTATCAGTGAATTTTGACTGCATGTTCAGTCAATTTCAGATTGCAGAAGTTGTTAAAATCGTCGGTTTGCTCATCTTTGGCATTAGTGGTTGGTGCATGAATCTGAGTAATAGTTGTGTTAACTGGTCTTCCTTGTAGGCCTATGGACAATATCCTATCATGGACAGCGTTGTACTTCAGGATAGATCTTGAAATGTTCTTTTTGACAACGAATGTGATGCCATTCCTCTTCGATTTGTCGTTCCCAGCATAGTGCATCATGTGATAGTCTGATTCAAAATGGCCGATACCATTCCATTTCAGCTCCCTAATGCCTAGGATATTGATCTTTTGTGTTCCATTCATTTTTGATGATTTCCAGTTTTCCTAGATTCATACTTTGTACATTCCACGTTCCGATTGTTAGTAGATGTTTGCAGCTGTTTCTTCTCATTTTGACCTGTGGCACATCAGCAAGTGAAGGTCCTAAAAGCTCGACTCTATCCAAGTCATTAAGATTGACTTTACTTTGAAAAGGCATCTCTTCCCCATTCGTATTTTGAGTGCCCTCCAACTTGAGGGGCTCATTTTCTGGCACTATCAGACAGTGCTATTCATAAGGTTTTCACTGGCCAATTTTTTCACAAGTAGACCACCTGGTCCCTCTTACCAGTCTGTCTTAGTCTGGAAGCTCTGCTGAAATCTGTCCGCCATGGGTGACCCTGTTGGTTTTTGAAATACCATTGTCATTGCTTCCAGCATCACAGTAACAGGCAAGCCACCACAGTACGACAAAGTGAAGAAGGTAGAATGTTATGAAAAATCATTTTAAAAGTTTATCAGATGTGATTCTGTGTATTTATTTCAAAGCTATAATCTCTACCCTAATCCCTATTTAAATTATGTATGTGGCTATTTTAAATATATATGTATGTGTGTGTGTGTATATATATATATATATATGTATATGTGGAGCTTGCTACTATCAGGGCTTCATTATGTCGAAAGCTTGCTAAAGAATGAAATATGGATACTACTTACAGCTACTACATTCACAATTTAAAACTATAAATTTACATTATAGCAACTTTCCAAATCCTTTACTACATTCTTTAATTACTTCAGATATATATGCTACATTATAAAGAATAAAAAGCTACTTGAGATGTAGAGTAAGCATCACAATCGCATTTATGCCTATTTTTTTATTTTTAAAGAAAATAAGAATTCATAATATTTCAATTAGGTTTTCTAAAGAGTATCAAATTCTTATCAAAATTAATATTCTTTTATCTAAACAGTAAATTTGTTAGTCACCACCAGACAAAAATCAAAGCATATTTCTGCATATGTGCCAGTCTGTATGTGGTTAGAACTGGTCTTTTTAAAGAAATTTAACATATAATTTATCTTGATAATATAACAGAAGTGATCTGCTTATTTCAAACCTATCATCTCTGCTCCAATTTTCTGCACTTATGTAGATAGATAGATAGAAATGGATAGTAGATAGACAGACAGACAGATAGATGGGGGAGAGAGACAGAGAGAGAGTGGAAATACCAAAACTCCCTTATATTGAAAGTTGCAGATGTGTGGCATATTGATGTTATTTAAAGCTACTTTGTTCTCACTTTCAAAACTGTAAACTAATTTCATCACTATTTTCAGTTTCTTTACTTTGTTTCCTTAATTTCTTTAGATAAATAATAACTTTATAATGAACAAAGTTTCAGTGTTTCCTGATGGAATAAATATCGTTTCAGCTCATGCCTGCAGACAGCCAGAAACCCCAGCCCATGCGGATGTGAGAGCAATAGATCTTCCTACTTTTGGTTACACTTTGGTGTACACTTGCCATCCAGGATTTTTCCTTGCGGGTGGATCTGAACACAGGACTTGTAAGCCGGATATGAAATGGACAGGAAAATCTCCTGTTTGTAAAAGTAAGTCACTGCTTACGGAGTGAAAGTACTTGCCTAACAGCCAAACAAAAGTATCCACTGCCCGCCAGACTAGCCCCCAGGTTTCGTAAGTGACAGTGTCGCGGAAGGGATGTCGTAAGTGAGCAGTGTCGCGGAAGGGATGTCGTAAGTGAGCAGTGTCGCGGAAGGGATGTTGATCGCTCTACGGAAGTCTGTACTTCCTGTGTGGGGGCTGTGTTGTGTGTGTGAATGTGTGCCCAGCAAGTGTTTGATACAGCAGTGGGAGAGGCTATGTAGATACCTAAGTTTTTATTATTAACTATTATATTTCAAGCAAAAAAAAAAAAAAGCTTTTTTGAATGAAAAATACTTTTTCAAATGAAAAATCATTTGAGTTAAAAGGAAAATAATATACAGTATATTTTCAGGAAAATGCATTTCTAAACATCAAAATGAATAAATATTACCAAGTATCTCAGAATATATAAATTCAACTCCCTGTCAGTGTTGTTAGTTTTAAGACCACTCAAGTTATTCGGTGGTGGAATTTGACTTTATGTGTTCTTGACATTGGTTTTACTTTTAAAAATGACCAAAGCGATTAGCATGGGAATGATGGATTAATTACTCACAAATTTGTGTATTTACAAGTGGGAGTAATAACTCTGGGTCAGACGTGATGACAGCTAACCTTTCAGGTTTTCCACTAAACGTTGGTTTCTATATGCGAAGAGTGCTAAACAGCAGTAACAGAAGATATTTAGTTTAATAAAATCAGTGACTTCAGTTTTAGTTTCCTGGAACTTATTTATAGTAGTCGAGTTAGGAATTTTTAAGAGATTTAAGTTTCCCTTGCCCTTCCTTTTCAGAAATAGATGGATATAAATTTTAAAAATAATAATTTGTAGTTTGATATCAAACTATAAAAGCCAACAGATTATGAGTTAAATCTAATTTGATAGACCAAATGAAACACTCTGCAAGGGAAATAAATTGATGTTCTTCAATATTAACTTATATATTTATTGATTTGGATGGGGGACTGGAAAATGAAGGATATTATTAAATCTTAGTTATTTTGTAGATTATCTTTCAGTCTGGTCGGCATATGCTTAATAGGATGGAAGAAATTTGATAGAAGCCACCCTCATTTACAAGGCTCTCTGTTGTAGCACTTTAAATGGGAATACCTCAAGTTAGATCTGCATTTATTTTTACCACTAAACTCAGTTTTCCCAGAAGCACAAAGGATATTCTGTGGTGAATATATTGGTTTAAAATGTGTAGGTATAAGATATTCATTATTTTTGTGAAAGTAGAAAATCTGGAGAAAGGAAAATTGCTTCAATTTAATATTTTTTCAACATTCAAAAATAAATGTTTTTGAAAATGATAATTTGTCTTTTTACTTGTAGGTAAAGGAGTGAGAGAAGTTAATGAAACAGTTACTAAAACTCCAGGTTTGTATACCAGAACAGTTATAGATGTATATCAAATAAAATGATTTGTTCGCTACTCTACTCTGCACAGTGAAGCAGTTTTTAACATTTTAAATTTCTGACTTCATTATTCCCTGAGAAAGTTAATCTTTCAAATATTTAAAACACCAAGCCAACTCAGATGTCTGTTTCTTTGAAAACAGTGGTTTGTTAATGAAATAGCAATGCTTTACTTACAAAGCCAACCTTTGGTGTAGACACTTTCATGGCAAGGTGCATGCGGCATTGTGGACAGAAATGGACATAAAATGTTCCTAATACAATGTGACATGATGGAGAGCCTTATAAAGAGGGTTGCAATTCCTTCCTCCAATGGGGGCGCTAACATAAATAAGGCAAGCTAAATAATAGATTCTGACAGTATGTGTTGTTACATTGAACAATTCAAATGCAGAGCCCCATTTTTTTCCTTCAGGTTTCTCAAAAATTCATGTATTTTCTGTCTCCTAAAATGTTAATGAAAGCTTTTTTTTTTTTTTAATATATGTGGTGCCTTGCTAAATTCATTGTATAGCAAATTAGAAAGATGCAGTCCTATTTCCTAAGGAAGATTTTCATTACTTCAAATCATATAGAATAGTTTATCTATGTTATAAATTTAGACATTGCTTAAATAAGGAAGTGTGTCTCCAAATTATATTAATTTTAATGAAATGTAAAAAAAGAACTATAAGTAGAAAACCTTTGTAAATATTTATGGTAACTTTACTAGTATTTTCCTTACTCATATTTTAACACTGGACATAACTTGCACATTACCTCTAGCTCTGATAAGCTCTATTCTAAATCAAGAAGGGAAAGAGTACCTGTAATGCTGTTAAGTCAGAATGCTATGTTATACACTTCATTCTTGGACAACGCAAATGCCTCAACGTGATTAGAGAAATTTCTCTAGTGTTCCTTTTTCTTAAAATTTTCTAGACCATCTAAAAAATATCTTACCTACAGATCAAAATACAGAAATCAATAGTCTTTTTCCAGACAACACTTTCTTCAATGGAAGGAAACACAATCTTTGTGGTTGTTGGGTGTTTGTTTTGTTTTTATATACTTATTTTTTGTTGAAGGTATTGAAATATCTGGATGCTCCATTTGAAGGTGCAAACACTGTTATCAGTATCCCTTTTCTTATTCTTTCTGAAGAGAAGGGCTAATTCAGCACAGTTCTTTCTCAAGGGGGTGCCCTCAAACACGCCTAAACAACTTGGTTGTTGCATTAGCCTCCCAGCTTCCAGCTGCAAGTCAAATGACAGGGAACACAAACGTGCTCTCTACCACATCGCTGATGGTTGTATTTGAAAACAAACCTTTTCTATAGCACTGATTATACATTATCCTACCCAGACAAACATTTTCTATTCCTGTGACACAGCCTACAATTGTAACTTAAGGACTTAAACAATTCATTAATATCTTCAGCTGAGTACAGAGATTCCAATTAGGGAAAACAATCTTGAAAATACAGTCTTTTCAGGGTTGCAAAT